TCGTGGAAACACCCTAAACAGCAGTATTATTCCATCAATCCTGGAAGGATTTAAAGCTTATTTGCCTGAATTTATTTGGGCAAATACTAAGGTGAGCGCATAGGGAGATCACAAGGCACCTGAGGAAAAAGGGAATAAGGAATTCACCTGCACATTGCACTTACTTTAAAAGACTTTTTATTTATTCATGTATTATTAAGCTTGCACTTGCACATTAATATCAATATATGTTTCTGCACAATATTGATGGATTGATGAGTGGCACTAAGTATTCATACACTTTTTAATGTTAATTTATTTGATTGATATCAGCTTAATTTGTTAAGGTTTTTTATACAACCATTTTTTGATTCACCTGTCACAGTGACTATATAATATTTTTTTACCCACTAAGTATAGTGATTTATAGATTTGGATGAGGTTTCAATATATATAATTATTGGAAGAGAGTAGATTGAATCTACATCACAATAAATAGCAATAGGAGCGCGGCACTATTAATATTTTTTGTTACTATATGAACACTAATTAGTGAGTTTGTGTGAGTGCCAGCGCACCTAGCGCATGACACTAGTATTTAGTAATCACCTATCATTCACTGAAAACCTTATTTATTTATAATAGCTCACAAGTATTTATCATTTATAGAACCCTCTACCATGTGATCAGCTCTAGCCAATCACTATAATTTTGAACTGTGATGAACTTAACCCATTCATGACAATTCAAAGGAAGCTCTGCATTGCAGGAGCAATAATCTTTAGGCAACAGAAAATTCCTCTTCAGATACAAAAGGTCCCTGAGGAAGAATCTCCCAAAGGAGTGAGTGAGAAATGGGATGCTGCATCAGAACCAGAGCCTGCTGCCCAAGGCATGAGTTAGTGAAAGGAAGAATATCCAACATTAATGCGAGAGTCAAGTCCCCCAAGCCCCAGGTCCCTGTTCTCCTTGACTCAGATTGCCATACTTGCTGCGCCTGCTAAGGGAATGATACTCACAGGGGGATGGGAGGCCTTCCAATGTCCCACCACCATATACACTCACCGGCCTCTTTATTAGGTAAACCTGTTCAATTGCTTGGTAACACAAGTTGCTAATCAGCCAATCACATGGCAGAAACTCAATGCATTTAGGCATCTAGACGTGGTGAAGAAGTTCAAACTGAGCATCAGAATGGTGAAGAAAGGGGATTTAAGTGACTTTGAACATGGCATGATTGTTGGTGCCAGACGGGCTGATCTGAGTATTTAAAAAATCTACTGGGATTTTCTCGCACAACCATCTTTACGGTTTACAGAAAATGGTCCGAAAAACAGAAAATATCCAGCGAGCGGCAGTTGTGTGGAGAAAATGCTTTGTTGATGTCAGAGGAGAATGAGCAGACTGGTTCAAAATGATAGAAAGGCAACAGTAACTCAAATAACCACTCATTACAACCAAGGTATGTAGAATACCATCTCTGAATGCACACTGGGTGCTGTCGGAACTGTTCTGTTCTTGCAAAGAAAAACATCCAAGCCCGGATACATTTTGCAAAAACATCTCAAGTCTCCCAAATGCATGTGGGAAAATGTATTATGGTCTGATGAAACCAAGGTTGAACTTTTTGGCCATAATTCCAAAAGATATGTTTGGTGCAAAAACAGCACTGCACATCACCAAAAGAACATCATACCCACAGTGAAGCATGGTGGTGACAGCATCATGCTTTGGGGCTATTTTTCTTCAGCTGGAACTGGGGCCTTAGTCTAGGTAGAGGGAATTATGAACAGTTCCAAATATCAGTCAGTATTGGCACAAAACCTTCAGACTTCTGCTAGAAAGCTGAACATGAAGAGGAAATTAATCTTTCAGCATGACAACAACCCAAAGCATTCATCCAAATCAACAAAGGAATGGCTTCACCAGAAGATTTAAGTTTTGGAATGGCCCAGCCAGAGCCCAGACCTGAATCCGATGGAAAATCTGTGGGGTGAGCTGAAGAGGGCTGTGCACAGGAGATGCCCTCGCAATCTGACAAATTTGGAGTGTTTTTGCAAAAAAGATTGGGCAAATACTGCCAAGTTAAGATGTGCCGTGCTGATAGACTCATACCCAAAAAGACAGTGCTGGAATCAAATCAAAAGGTGCTTCAACAAAAGTATTCGTTTGTTTAAGGGTGTGCACACTTATGCAACCAAACATTTTTTGTTTTTTATTATTACTTCCCTCCACCTAAAAGATTTCAGTTCGTTTCTCAATTGAGTTGTATAGTTTATAGGTGGAAAAAGTTCTGAAATGATTTATCTTTGTCTCATTTTTCTACATCACAGAAACCTGACATTTTAGCAGGGGTGTGTAGATTTTGTATATCCATGGTAACTCACTTTTCTGCAGGAAATTTGTGCTCGACTTATATCTCCAGATAAACCACTTAGTCTGATAATGGTTATGGTTAGCACCGGAGTTGATTTGAAATAATTTTAACTGCAGTATAAATGATATTTATTTCAATTCTCTGAGGGGAGGATTCTCTTTGGAATGTCCCCAAAGCCAATTTCAATTTAGTTGGGTATATATGACAAAGTAGACAACTTGGTAAACATTTGTTCTTGACCTCAGATAGATTCTAAGCTATTGTCCTCTGTATGGTATTCTAAATCAGTTCATGCCAATGTAAACTTTGAACTTTGAATATCTGGTTGTAGAGAGATTACGTGAACAATTTGCATAGTCTTTGTCATATTCTGCTGAGTTACTCATAGTTTCCTACGCCGCATTTCTAGACAGTTGGTCCCATTTCATTAATATTTGAAAAGATTAGCGAATTTAAATTTGTAACCATTATTTTTGAATAGATAACTGAATTGCCATTTTGATTTAATTATTATTTATCACCAATCATATTTTAATTACCATTTTGCACCAATTTGTATTATGAATAAATATATATATTTTTGCATATTATTGCTTTTTATTTTATCTTCAAATTAGCGCAAATAAAGAACTTGAATTATCAGTTGATTTATGAAAATTAGTCGGCAATCTCCTTAACCACTTGCCTACAGGGCACTTGCGCTGTCATGCAACACTGTACCCATATGAAATTTTTATCATTTTTTTGTGACAGATAGAGCTTTCTTTTGGTGGTATTTAATCACCTCTTGGTTTTTTTATTTTTTCTTAAACAAACCAAAAACCACTGAAAATTTTGGAAAAAAAAAGTTTTTTCTTAGTTTTTGTTTTAAAATTTTGTAAAGTGATTTTTCTCCTTCACTGATGTACGCTAATGAGGCTGTAGTGATGGGCACTGATAAGATGCACTGATGGACACTGATAAGTGGCACTGATGGGCATTGACAGGCATCACTGATGGGCACTGAAAGGCAGCACTGATATAGAGCACTGATATATGGCACTGATGCGCACGGATAGGCGGCACTGATAAGTGGCACCGATGGGTGACACTGAAGGGCAGCTCAGATGAGCACTGATTTGTGGCATTGATGTGCACTGGTATGCACTGATATGTGGCATAGTGGCACTGATGGGCATTGGCACGTGGCACTGTTCAGCTGACACTGATGGATGACAGGTGGCACTTCTGGGGCCACACTGATCATCAGGGCACACTGATCATCAGTGCCCTGATGATCAGTGTACATGTCCCCTCCGCGGAAAGCCGATTACGGCTCTCCTCTCCTCACGAGCTGTCAGCGTGACAGCTCGAGAGGAGAGAAATGCTGATAACCGGCATTTCCCTGTTTACATGCGATCAGCTGTGATTGGACACAGCTGATCACATGACCGAGCCGATATCTTCGGCTCTTTCCATGATCGGTGATCCCGTGTCCGAGGGACACAGAGCACCGCCGATTGCCGCGCGCTCCCTGAGCCGCGCATGCGCAGTGAGAGTGGCAGGACGTCATATGACATCCTATCAGAACGAGAGAACCACCTTGCGCCTGTCATTGGACTATATGGTGGGCGGGAGGTAGTTAAGTCCAGATCCCTGCCTGTTTTCATAAATTAGACGCTGATTATTTTCTCAGAGCTAAAGTTGTCACAGTGCCTCTCCTGTCAGCTAAGAACAGGAAACGGAGGCTACAATTCGCACAGGCTCACCAAAATTAGAAGACTGGAAAAATGTTGCCTGATAAGTCTCGAATTCAGCTGTGACATTCAGATGGTAGGGCCTGAATTTGGCGTAAAAACATGGAAGCATGGATCCATCCTTTCTTGTAGCAACAGTTCGTGGATCTGCAACCGACAAATCTGCTGCAACTGTGTGATGCTATCATGTCAATGTGGACCAAACACCTTGTTGAATCTATGCTATAAAGAATTAAGGCAGTTCTGAAGGCAAAAGAGGTCCAACCCGGTACTAGGAAGGTGTACCTAATAAAGTGGCCAATGAGTGGATGTAAATGCTGCATTTTCATTCTAGGACATGTTTATTGAACACCTTCTCCATAGCATAGGGGATAAGAGGGGGAAGTCTGTAATCCTAACAGATAACTGGGAACAATGTAACTGAATAAGTGTACAGTACAAGCAGAGAGTGCAGGAAGTTATATGTTTACACAATATCTGGAAGGATCAACAGGTTTATGTTATGTATGGTTAACATCAATATTCCAATACTAGTTACTTGAGCCCGTGAGACAGACCTTACCTTGAACTTCCACCTTCCAGAGCTTTGGCAGCTGCATCCCCAAGCACTTCTGCCTTCAGGTAGTACAGCATTCGTACCCGAAGAAGGACCCTGATATAAAGTAGAGTGATAAATTAACTGACATTCAATTATCTTTCACTGAAAAATAATTTATGTACAACCTTAAGCGCTACTTTACAGCAGAAGACATTTCCAATTGTAAAATTCAACATGTTACAAAAAGCTAAAAAATATCTGAATCAGGATGGAAATGTCTTCTGTATCTGTCCACATCTACTCACTTGTTACAGTGTTGCTTGAGGTGCTTCTTGTAGCTCTCATCATGCAGGACAATCTCTGGGTTACAGCTTGCCAGCCAGTCAGCATTCTTGATCTCTGGCAATAACATTTGATTCTTCATTTTCTTCCCTTTCCTTCCACGTGGGACGGGGGCTGACAAACCTTCAAACAGCCAACATTATTCATCAAACAGAGCTACGAACATTAAAGAGGCTTTGTCGTTTAGGATTACGTCAGTCTTTTTGGTGACTTGCTAAATCTGCATTCCAAAGTTTCATAACCCTATACCTGATCACCCAGGTCAACCCACAGCAAGACTGCGCCGGCCTACATTTGTAATGCCTGATTTTGCCACTGGCCTGCTCTTTAACCTCCATTTCAAGCTGTGTTCCTTATAATAAGAAAACTGGTAAGGGAACCGATGCCAGGCACTAGCACTCTGACTGCTAGGTGAAAAGGTGGATGTTAATAGGATTGATTGCTAAAGAAGTACAACCAAAGCTCGTTCTGCACTCCTGTGATCAGCCAACAGCTGGCTAAAGTCCACGATCGGCTGACGTCACAGAAGGCTGGGAAAAGATCCTGACTTTAAAGTCGGGATCCACCCAGATCCCTGGACCGGCAGCTGGCTCAGCCTCTCAGCAATCTGCTGAGAGCCTGACCAGTCGCTCCTACCCCTTCCATAACCTGGCGCTCCAGTGAGTGACTAACAGTCACCGCTCTTTGCTCAGAGCAGTAAGGAGAACTGAGTGAGCAGCGGTGTCTGATCACTCAGTTCTCAGCCTTCGAGCCAGCAGGGGACAGATGCAGCATCCACCTAAGTATAATTAACCACTTACCTGCCACCCTATAGTAGAACTACTGCTACAGGGTGGCAGAAATCATGTACATATATGTGATATGCATTTCTGGGTAGGGAGTGCACGCTGCCCTACCCGCGCCACCATTGGCGACTAGACATGTCAATCACAGGGTCCCAGACAGAGGTTCCCCTCCAGCACCTGGCGTTCGCCGTGCACAGCTGACAGGGGAGAGACCTGTGTTGTAAGTAACACAGGTCTCTCTCCTGCCAGCAAGGACATGCGGTTTTGTATTTCTCTGCACAGCACAGCAGAGAGAAATACAAAACAGAATGTCTCCAAGGTAAAACAACACACACACCCACACACAGCACACAATTAACCCTTTGATCGCCCAAACGTTAACCCCTTCCTGCCCAGTGTCATTAGTACAGTGTCAGTGCTTTATATTAGCACTGATCACTGCATTAGTGTCACTGGGGATGTCAGTGGCAGTTAGTCAGTTCCCACCCAGTGTCAGAATGCCTGCCGCAGTCCCGCTGTAAGTCGCTGATCACCGCCATTATTAGTATAAAATTAAAATTCCAATATATATATACCGCCATTTGTAGACACTATAACTTTCGCATAAACCAATTAATTTACACGTATTGGGATTTTTTTTTATTATTAGCATAGACATGGAGCAGAATACATTTTGGCCTAAATTTATGCCGAAAGTTGATTTTTTTTTATTGAACATGTTTAATAGCAAAAAGTCAAAAAAATTTGTTTTTTTTTTCAAAATTTTAGGTCTTTGTTTTTGTTTATAGCGCAAAAAATAAAAACCACTGAGGTGATCAAATACCACCAAAAGAAAACTATTTGTGGGGAAGAAAAAAGAAAAAGAAAAAAAAAAAAAAAAAAAAAAAAAAAAAGGACAGCATTGCATGACTACGCAATTTTCAGTTAAAGTAACGCAGCGCCTTATTAAAAAAAAAAATGGTCTGGTAGGGAAGGGGGGTAAATCCTCTGGAGGGCAAGTGGTTAAAAAAAAAAATCCAAAACTTCTCTTTTAAATTGATATTAAACACATTTATTTCTATATTGGATGCTCGGAATAGGACTTTCCCTGTCTTCACAGCTTGTTCTGTCATATTTTTTCTTCTGTCACTCACTGTTGGTGCCAATTTCCATTGTAAGGGTGGTTCCTTAGCTTGCAGGGTCCTATGCAGCCCCCCTGGAGCCACCCTTACGTGCATGCTCCTAGGTTAATGTTATGACTCTGCCTGCACCAATAGGTACAGACAGTCCAAGACCAATATGCATGCTTCTTGCAGATGGCTGAAAATGGATTGGAATGGCCACACATGTGCAGTGGCGCTATGATTTACGGGACATGTATTCACGAGGATGGGGGATCAGATTAATGAGAATTCATGAAGTTCAGGGAAATGGGGAGGGGAAGAGGGATGTAAAAGGCTAAGCATGTAACAACACTAAAAAGGTAACTGGTTCTGGAAATCTATTGAAATACTATTTTAAACGTGTTGTGCTGAATGTGTAACTACACATACATTTATGCATAAAACATAGCCAGTAATACTACCATTTTAAGATGATGCAAGAATGCATTCTGAAAATATTCACTATATTTAAAAGATTATAATTTTATTGGAATTTTGTAAGGTATACAAAAGACAAAAGCTCAAATACACAATTCAGTCCCCAACATGCACGATAGCAGAACTAAAGGCTGCTAAAAAGTGGCTGTAAATCCTCACATATACCCACTGAAGTAATTGGCCTCAGGTGATAAACAGAGGTGAAACAAATCATCCTACTTACGTCGTACCTGTTTATCAGAAGCCATCTCTCTTCTATATCTATTCAAAGGGCAGAATTTATACAGCTTGTCTGAACTTCCAGAAAACCGGGGGCGGGAAGCTGAAGCTACACTCTGCAGAGCTCAGTGAGAGCTTACTGGAAAAAAGGCACACGACCCTCTTCACACAGCATACAGGGACAGAGCTAAGGCTGTTGTGTGCTGGAGATCCCTTCCCTGTTCTATCAGGTTGAAGTCAGGACTCTGTCAGGCCAGTCAGGTTCCTCCACCCCAAACTGCTCATCCATGACTTTATGGACCTAGCTTTGTGCACTGGTGTGCAGTCATGTTGGAACAGGAAATGGCCATCCCCAAACTCTTCCCACAAAGTTGGGAGCGTGGAATTGTCCATAATGTCTTTGTATGCTGACGCCTTAAGAGTTCCCTTCACTGGAACTAAGGGGCCAAGCCCAACCCCTGAAAAACAACCCCACACCATAATCCCTCCTCCACCAAACTTTACACTTGGCACAATGCAGTCAGGCAAGTACTATTCTCCTGGCAACCGGCAAACCCAGACACGCCTATCAGATTGCCATGGAGAAGCGTGATTCGTCACTCCAGAGAACACGTCTCCACTGCATCCAGTGGTGGCGTGCTTTACACCACTGTATCCGATGCTTTGCATTGCACTTGGTGATGTAAGGGTTGGATGCAGCTGCTCGGCCATGGAAACCCATTCCATGAAGCTCTCTATGCACTGTTATTGTGCTAATCTGAAGGCCACATGAAGTTTGGAGGTCTTTAGCTATTGACTCTGCAGACAGTTGTCGACTTCTGAGAACTGTGCACTTCAGCATGTGCTGACCCCGCTCTGTCATTTCTTGTGGCCTACCACTTGGTGGCTGAGTTGCTGTTGTTCCCAATTGCTTCCACCTTGTTATAATACCACTATTATGGAGAGAAGAGTTATTCTTGGGGACTGTTGCAAAGCCACTTCTGGTGTGACCACTATATTTAAGGCAGTATTAAACTCAAAAGCAAACATTTATTATATTGCAGCTTGCCAATTCACAGATGTGATAGCTGTATTTTTTTCCTTTTTAGGCTTTCGTCTAATTTCATCTGCTGATCCACCCAGTAAGTCTGCTGTTTTTCAACAGAAAAAACTATATTGCAGTTACAGGGATGAGAGAGACCATTTACCACTGACAGGGGGTTCTTAAAATGATCAATTTTTTTTTAAAGAAGTTTACCTTTATTAACAAAAGGCAGTATCCGATACAGACAATATGTAAGGTTGGGTTACCATAGCTCCAAATCCCAGGAGTCGGTAACTGTAACTTCCCAACGGGGAGAAAGGTACTGCCCCAGACCATTTTTAATACATAAAGTGGCAAAATATAGCAAACAGTGAGAAAGAAGCAAAGAGGAAATGTAGGGATGAAGGATAATAGAAGATAAAAAATTAGGACAAAAACAAAAAGGGGGGGGGAAACAGGAATATTGGTTCAATCTGAAGGAGGGACGACAACGCCTTCTTATGCAGTAGGACTCAACTGAAAAGAGCTTTACCCTCTTCAGAATAAACAGACATATTCCACAGGCCCCACGTTTTGAAATAAATGTCTCGTTTGTGTTAAGAAGTCAGGACTAAGTCCTCCATCTGATTCAAATCCTCCACTTTCATGAGCCATAGTCTAATGGGCAGAGATTGTGTATTTTTCCATGTAAGAGGAATACAAGACTTATCAGCCTTATCCAGGTGTCGGAGAATGGACTTTTTGTATACTTTGTCAGGTATGGTGGAGGCAGGGAGAAAGAAAAAAGCTGGGTCATCCGGCACCATATAAATAGGTACATTTTACGGGGTGCTGTGACGTGGCTCTGTGGCTTGTACCCACTGCTTCAGGATGGATCATCATACCTATAGTGTGATATCTGCACACTCAGGGAGCACTATCAGGTTCTTGAAAGGGGGAGTCCCAGAGGACGAGGACCACCTGTATTAATCCTTTTAGCATCCTGTCTGACGACCCACCATCCCTTAGAGGGAAGACCTTATAGTTGCTGACCCTTTCCTATCTGATGACATCTAGATTAATAACATAAGGTGCATTTCTCATGCGCGTCCGGTGAGTGCGCATTACCTTCACCACTATTGCACTGACTCTAGGTCCAGAGTTACCAGAGCACAAGAGTCACCTATATCTTATTTACTGATTTTATATTGGAACTTTTTATCATTTATCTAGATGGGATATTTATTGATTTTATTGATTTATTGATTTTATTGATCTACTTGTTTATTAGTTATTTTAGCGCTGCACTTCTTTTATATTAGGTACATTTTTGAGTCAACCTACGAATCTCTTGCCAGAAACCAGTCAATTTTGGGACAGGCCCATATATAAAAAATATGTAATAATGTTCTTCGCTCCCCTTGGCATTGCCAACATTTACCAGTAGTATTTGGTAAAAATGTATACAAAAGGGCAGGGGTATGATACCATCCAGGAAGAATCTTAAAGCTAGTGTCCTGAAATTTTGTGCAGACTGAAGACTTCAAGGCAAAGCGTATTATATTTGTCCTCTGAGTGTCACTAAAGGGCTGTCCTAAGTCTGTTTCCCACTTGTCAAGGAAGGGTGGACAATAGACTGCAGGAGGGGTGATCAGGAGAGAATACATTTTAGAAAGTGTATGAGGTAAAGGGCCCTGTTTAAAACATATGTCTTCGAACAAAGTCATGTTATGACTGAAGACGGATGGATGAGGCAAAGGAGTATATAGAAAAAAAAAAAAATGACGTAACTGTACTGCCCTCCAGAAATCCAAGCGAAAGGAGCCTCCGGGATCTTTTAAACATGGAATAAAAGGGCCAGTAGAAAAGGGTGGTCTGGAATCGGCTGGCAGATAACGACCAGAAAATGCTGCCTTGTGTGGGTTAGGCATGATTGGAAACAATGAAGAGTTCCCAGAGGACAGGTCAGCTGTCATGAACAACTGAAAACAGAGACGTACAGGAGGTGTTTTGAGAGAGGCAGGCAATTCCATGATCAACTTTTTTTTTTTTTCTTTTAAATTTAAAACCTTCATCCCAAAAGGAAAAATGTTTTGCTGTAACTGATTATAAAGTATTAGCTGGAGCTCAGCATCAATTTGTATCGTGTTTGAATCTGCTAGTACATCCAACATTCCCCTCCCCCTGACTGACAATGTTGCTGTCCACATCTGCCCTCTATGCTCCTTCACCCAGAGCGGTGTCTGTATAACACAGGAGTAGTGTTACCAGACAGAACAAAAATCAGAGGAGAAAAAAAGCCTAAAAAAAAGAAAACGAATTCAGCCAATACAGCCAAGGACTGGTAAGCTGCAACATAGTATATTTTTGTTTTTAAGTTTAATACTGCTTTACAAGGGTTCCAGCCACTAACATAGAATGCTGCATGGTCCCCTGCTTCTGTAGGCCCAAAACCTAAAAACCAACACAAAAGCGTGGCTAAGACCCCTGGCAATCAGCCCAAGTTCATGGTGCCCCTCAAACTAAAATAGCAGAAGCACTACTAAACTTCTTTCTTTCATAAGGGGTATACAATACCCATTTTAGCATTGTGAGTGGAGATTCTGATTTTAAGCTATTTTGCCTATACGCTCTGGGAGGACTGCACATAATTGTACCTGAGTGATTTTGCAGAGCCTGGTTGCTTCCACCATCTTTTATGGGAGTGATGAGGTCCCAAATGAAGCTTTTGATCTTGTCATCTCCTTTGTAATGTTTCACACAGTAAACCAGCAATGCCCTGCAGATCATCTCCATGTCTTTCTCATTTAAGTGCCATTTGAAGCGTCCCAAAGTCAGGATGTCCTTCCAGCGTCCCCAGCTGCAGAAATAAAATAGTTGTCATATGGGGGAACCAAATGATGCAAAGCAAAACTACCAAATTAACCTTCTGTGCTTCCAAAGCATATATTAAACTGACCTAGTTCACTAGAAGAAGCACCCAGAACCTGTACTAGCATTTCTATTTACATAACTACTCAGTTTAAAAAAAACAACAAAAAAAACAGTAAACCGAGCACAATCAGAGATGGCTGCCTTGATAGTATACGGCCTGTTGGAGAGGTTCTTAACCTTTCCAACCGGTCCAAATGATGATCATCAATCCTATTAGTTACCAGTATGACTTCAAAAGATGTTGAGAGCTTTATCTTACTTTACATATGGATAGTTAAGAACAGAACAAGGGAAATAATATCTAAGGCTCCATTCACATCTGGGTGTTTTGTATCGCGGGCAGAATTGCCACGATTCTGCCCACGATCCCAAAACACTGTGCAAAAATGATAAATCTCATCACGTGCGTTCAGGTGCCATTTATTTTCAATGGCACCTAAAACGTGGTGCGATTCTGCCAAGATAAATCACGCTGCAATCTTGGCAAACCACATTGCGCGAAGCTTGCCACCCAAAAAGGAGCAGGCGAGACAAGATTTACTTGATCACAGCGAGATTTATTGCGCAACAATCACGGGAAGAATCACACCACGTTCTAGGTGCAATTGAAAATTAATAGTCATTTTTGCACAGTGTTTTGGGATCACAAACGCCCTTATGTGTAAGTAGCCTTAACGATTTTTATCATATTTGTGTATTTAAAAAAAACCTGGCAAATTACAAAATACACAAAGCTAGCTACAATTAGTGAGAGATTCAGATACGAACAATGTTACTCCCATATCATGTGATCCATAAAATCGATTCCTCCACTTCAATTTCTGCAAAATCTAGCACTCCACCTTTGATTTCTGCTTAAAAAATGTGGAGAATCATGTTTATTTTTTTTCTAATTAGTCCATTATTTAGATCCTATATTCCCAAAGAGTATATGACTCCGGTTACGAATCCCTGCCCTAGTCAAAACTGCCAAACCAAAAGTTAGGAATGACACTTGATAGGAAAAAAAAAAAAAAAAAAAAAAAAAAAAAAAAAAAAGGCCGCTTACCCAAATATGAGCAGGTTCTTTTCCACCCGGAAGCATTCTGCCCGTAGATAACGACGTGTTTTGTCATTCAGTCGCCGGGATCTTGTGGGTCTCTCCTCTGTGTCACTCTCCAGCTCTGAAAGAAATTCCATCAGCTCATCATCCTCAAAGGAGTTGTAATGTTTGGTTTGCTTCCTCACACGGGGACGGTCAATGACTAAACTATCCTAAATGAAAAAAGTGAAAGGGTCAGTTATATCTGATAAGGGGTAAAGGGCTGGTGTGCATTGTAACAAAAATCTGCTTACCTTTTCATTCTTGGCATCTGTGTCCAGCTCAGCAATCTTCGCCCATTTCTGCCAGAAATTAGGGTCATCCAGAGAGATGTCTGTTCTGTTACCAGATGATACAAAACTGGCCTGCAGAAGGAAGAGACTTTTCAGTTTAGAGTTTATACTTCTATCTTTGGACTCTTGACAGTATGTACAGATATCCAACACTACACAACTGCCATCCTGTGGCTTTGGTTGCAGGACAAATAAAAAAAAATTGTAATTTACATTAAAGTGTTACTAAACTGATGACCCTGCCATTCACTATATCTGGTCTCCCACAGTACACAGATTGTTTTAGTAAATATAAACTGCTAAATACCTTTTCTCATCAGCAGTATATAGCAGTCTCGTGACTTCTATCAGTGTCCAGCAGTGGACTGGTTAAAGCTTGTAGGAAGAGTTTTCTGCTCTTGAAGATGCAGAACCTCTGATCTCTGTCTGGACAGTGCTGATTGGCCCTGTGCTGATCACATGCACTATCCCAATAGAGAAAAAAAAAAACCCTCTCTAGCAATACACACCAAACTGAACACATGCAGCTTGCCTTCAAAGCTTTGTTCTATCTGCAGATGGATTGAGGACAGTAGAAGAAGGGGAGGATTGGAGAAGACAGGATCAAACATCCTTTTTACACAAGGCAGAGGATTAACCCCTTAGGTTCCAGTGAGTCTAACAAACATGCTTTACTGCATATACAGGCTGATTTTACTGTTGTGGGATTAGTAAAACTAAGTTGTTTACCACACTGGCATAAACCAACAAGGAGGTACCACCAACCATGTAGCAGATCATGTATTCAAATGATATTGTAATAATGACAGTAATACTAAAAATAGCTCCACAGAAACTGAACCCTAATATGAATGTTAGGAATAAAAGTGTTCCTCAAGTTGTGGTCAAAGACATTGACTCATGAGAAAACATAAAAGTTTATCTCCAACGTTATTTTTCTAGTTTTTGACAAAACGGGAAGGAGTCATACTGTCAGATTTTTATTGTGGTTTGTGTACATGCTGCAGTGATTCACTCTTTATGGTATCTGGGTGATCATTATCACAGCAAAGAAAGCTTTGCAATTACAAAATTATATAGTCAAAACAAGAACAGTGGGCATGGTGAAATCATCCAATGGAAACCAATGCCCGCCTCACCACCTGCCCCCTCGACCCTATCCCCTCACAATTCCTACGACCTCCCTCCCCCTCCATCCTACGCTCCCTCACCCACATCTTTAATCTCTCCCTCTCCTCCGGCACTTTCCCCTCCCCACTGAAGCATGCACACATCACCCCCATACTTAAAAAGCCCTCCCTGGACCCCAATGACCCGAACAACCTCAGACCCATCTCCCTGCTCCCACTTACATCTAAACTCCTCGAGCGCCTCGTCTACACCCGCCTATGCTCTCACCTCAACGACAACAACCTCCTCGATCCCCTACAGTCTGACTTCCGCCCCCTACACTCCACCGAAACCGCCTTACTCAAACTCTCCAACGACCTTCTAACCGCCAAAGCTAATGGCCACTATTCAGTGCTCCTACTCCTTGACCTCTCTGCGGCCTTCGACACAGTTGACCACCCCCTCCTCCTCAAAATACTACACTCCCTCGGCCTCAGAGATTCTGCTCTCTCCTGGCTCTCATCCTACCTGTCACAACGCTCTTTCAGCGTTACCTATAATGCTACCACCTCCCCCTCACTCCCCCTCTCTGTTGGGGTCCCTCAAGGCTCTGTCCTTGGGCCCCTTCTCTTCTCCATCTACACCTCCTCCCTCGGCCAACTCATACACTCTCACGGCTTCAACTACCACCTCTATGCCGACGACACACAAATCTATCTCTCAACCCCCCACCTCACCCCCTCGGTCTCTGCCCAAATCACACACCTACTGAGCGACATATCAGATTGGATGTCGCTCCACTTCCTTAAACTGAATCTCTCCAAAACCGAGCTCCTTGTCTTCCCCCCAGCCCGAACCCCACCCCCCATTGACTTCTACATCACATCCAACAACGCCAATATCAAACCCGCTCTGCAGGCCAGAGTACTTGGTGTCATTCTGGACTCCAACCTATCCTTCCAGCCCCAAGTCCAATCTTTAACAAACTCGTGCAGACTCCACCTCCGCAACATCGCCAAAATCCGCACGTTCCTAACCCCAGAAACCACTAAACAGCTCATCCACTCCCTCATCATATCACGACTCGACTACTGCAACTCCCTCCTCACTGGCCTGCCTCGCCGCTGGCTATCCCCGCTTCAGTCGATCCTGAATATGGCTGCCAGACTCATTCACCTTTCCAACCGCTCCGTTTCCGCCACCCCCCTCTGCCAATCCCTCCACTGGCTTCCGATTGCGCAACGGATCAAATTTAAAATCCTAACACTGACGTACAAAGCTGTCCACCATACTGCCCCGAACTACATCACTGACCTAATATCCAAGTACCGCCCAGCACGCACACTCCGCTCCTCACAAGACCTCCTTCTCTCTAGTTCCCTGGTCTCCTCCTCCCATGCCCGCCTCCAGGACTTCTCCAGGGTGTCACCCATCCTCTGGAACTTCCTGCCCCAACCCATCAGATTATCACCTACTCTCCTCTCCTTTAGGCGCACCCTGAAAACCCATCTCTTCAGGGAAGCCTACCTCACCCCCTGCTAACTTGCTGACCTCCTCCACTCTTCCTACCACTCCATCCCCCACAGCTATCTCCTCCTGTACCACCATCCCCTCCCTCCTAGATTGTAAGCTCGAAAGAGCAGGGCCCTCGATCCCCTCATGTTTTGCATTGTATTGGTATTGTTCTGTCACATGTTCTGTCCCCCTTTGTAATGTACAGCGCTGAGTGAACTATTGGCGCTTTATAAATACTGTATAATAATAATAATAATAATTGTTCCAGTGACAATTGTCTGATTTCCTCCCTTCACATACATGGAAACATGGTGATCTCAATTGAAAATATGCTTTAATCTACGGTTTAAAATTTTTTGTTTCTTTTTTTGTATAGCTGTAACTGTTTATGTACATGGGGGCAGCCATGTTTGTTCATTTATGAAGGCTCTGCTTCCAGCTCTATATTACTGCACAGCTTATGGATCTTACTCTTAATGTCTAAACAATGCAGGTACTCTTCTCCCAAAAAAAAAAAAAAGGATTTGTAAGAACATATTAATGTAGACCGTAACAGTCATTTAAATGACCTCATCCAACACTCCGCATCTATAGATATTACAAATTTACTATAATTACAATGCAATTGTTACAGCACAGCTAAGTGAATGGTAAGGATGGAGTATCTTTAAAGCTTCAATATTCGTGAACAGTTTTCTGCTGACTACATCATATTGTCTATGACTACTCCCAACCCTCTGAAATCGTAAGACAACTAGAACTCTCTGTGTGGCAATATGATTGAGGATCCTTCCAGGCCCAAGTCCAATCATTAACAAACTCATGCAGACTCCACTATGATATCCCAAACCACTGAACAAGACAGGTGGACAACACAGCAGCAAAGACAAACATCTAAAATCCACATTGGGAAAACCCTGTGCATCAAAGCCAGCTAACACTTTCTCTAGTACCTTCATGCATGCTTAAGGAAGTTTCTTCAATTTCTCCTGAAGAAATACTTTGACCTGTGCCATGTTGAGTACTAATGCTAAGTACTCCAGATGTTGTGTTGGAACCCAACTTCTGAAGGTTCAGAACCCAGCCGAACTTCTCCAGGACTTGTTCCAGTTGCTGGACACTTAACACCACTTTCTAAGCTGACGGCTTAATGGAGAAGCAAGTCATTTAGGTACTCCAAAATAGGCATATCCTCAGTCTTCAAAAAGCACAGAACCAGAGCCATGGACAGGTCAAAAAACAACTCCAGAAATTGTTAAGGGGGCCAGAATATCGGGATTGTAGGTCGGCATTCTTGCTATCCACTGATGTCTGGAAGTTTCTCTGATGAAGTGAAACACCCACTGATTGGTTGGACTACATCCTGGATATTTGTCTCTTCAGGAACCTATTGAGACCCTTGAGCTTCAGACTAGGATGGATTTCTCTTTTTGGTTTGTGAACCATGAGAAGGTTGGAGTAAAAGCCGTGAGACCTCTCCCCTGCCAGCTTAAGCGTGATGACCCTTTGGCACAGCAGTCTTTCCAGGGACCCAACCAACCTTTTTGTGAATGTGAAGATACCCTTGAGCATATAAAGAGCGTGGATAAGAAAAGCAGGGGAACTCCATCTGGTAGCCTCCAGACACCACAATGCAGACCTAGGCTTTTGTGACTTCCTAAGGCTAGGTTGCTATGAAGGCTAATAGGCGTCCCCCACCCATGCAAGTTGAGGCATTCCTTCACTGTTTGGGGGATTTACCTCAAGAACCAGATTACTTGTGGTCTAGTTCCACTTATGAAACTGATATGTAGGTGTTTGCTTAGAGCCCAAGGCTGGTTGCTTATGCAAGGAACTCTCCTTGGAATCTGGTCAGTTTCTGACCAATCACCTTCCTCTTTATTTCCCCGTAGTCACCTTTGGTGTGAAGGCATCCAAGAATGGTTAAACAAGCATTCACCCTCAAAGGGCAGCATCTCAAAGTTTCTTGCAGACAAATTTCTGCCAACCAAAACCTGGCCATAGTCTCCTTCTCATGTGAAGAGACATGGCGACAACCCTTGAAAGCTGCCGTACAGAATCTTCAAAAGACATCTTCTGAGAAACTCACAACTCTCCGAAAATGGCATGATCTTCCAGGTCCGATTAGCTGGAACTGAGCATACACTTTGTGGGCTTGGCAAACACCTACCACAGCTACCGCAAAAGCTGAAGAGCTGCTCCTACCAGAAGGGAGG